GCATCCATGGCTGATTCTAATAAAACAGTTGAATTTTCTAGAAGAAATCATAATACACCTATAATCACATGAACTATAATTGCTTAGGTTTTGTGTTCTGGTTCAAGATTTTGTAATGAATTATAAGACTACTATTAACAGCAGAGCTAACTAAGGGGAAGGAAGAAGAAAATGATAAAATGAATGTTAACTAATGACTTCTTAGAAAGTCTCAGTAAATAAGACTCAGAGCTTACATCATCCTACAAGGATTTAACTCATCCAGTAAAGTCTATAATTGAGGATATCCAGCCTAAAAGTAGATTTTTATGAGCTCTAAATAAATCCTAGCTTCTATTTACAAGATTTAAAAACGGTTGCTATTATTAAAGTAGGGAGGGGGATGCATTTGTCAAAGCCTTTTTGTGGATATTAGGGACAACTCTGTGAGGTCATTTCTTTCCCTTCATCTTTACATGTGTTCCATATACTGAACTCAGGTTACCAGGTTTATCCAACAAGCACCTTTACCCACTGAGTCATCTCTCACCGGCCTTATTTATGTTTTTACACCTCTACTAAACAATTTGATAAACCTGTTTCTAGAAGAAAGAATGAGAAAGAGGAAGAAGAGAAGGAGGAAGCAGCAGCAGCAGCTTTTATAGTTGGGCACAACAGTTTATGCCTGTAATCCCAGCATTCTGGAGGCCGAGACAGTACAGGGCCAACCTTGGTTACACATCCAATTCCAGGCTAACCTGAGCTACATACTAATATCTTACTTTAAAAGCAAAACAAACAGCCGGGTGTTGGTGGTCCATGCCTTTAAATCCCAGCACTTGGGAGGCAGAAGCAGGCGGATCTCTGTGAGTTCGAGGCCAGCCTGGTCTCCAGAGAGAGCGCCAGAATAGGCTCCAAAGCTACACAGAGAAACCCTGTTTCGAAAAACCAAAAAAAAAAAAAAAAAAAAAAAAAAAAAAAACCAAAACAACAAAAAAACCAAAACAACAACAACAACAACAACAACAAAACAAACAAACAAAAAACTTTAAAAAAATGCCTTAAGCCAGGCATGATGTGTGGTAATCCCTGCACCCCAAGAAGCTGAAAGAGGAGTGCCCAGAGAATGTGAAGACAAGACTTCAAGCCCAAACATCCAATGGAACAAACAAACAAACCCTTACAAAGGACACTGCCGTCTAAATTAAAAGCACACAGACCCACTTCTCAGAATTCTTAAGGTGTATACACATATTTTACTCATTAGGTTAAAGAGAAAAACATACTAATCATTTTTTCCAGTCCTAGAATTCTCTTCATTGTTGGGGGGTGGAGAGAATTAAAAAACCAACAAACCAATGCTGAATCACAAATAAAGAAAACAGGTAAGGCAGAGAGCTCAAAAAAGTAATTCATGGCACACCTCAAACTTCCTAATTAGGACCTGGTGGTCTTGGTAAACTTTTAAAACTAAGTTAACTGAAGAGCACAAGTACCTAAAATAGTCTCCAGAAACTCAACTCCACGCCAAGACTTGAAGCATTTATCTGCCTGTTACTACACTTCTCACTTCCTGCTTTCTTCAGACAGCACATTCTGACCATTTCAGGTAACAAGGCAGAAGTGAAAAAAACCAACTTCCTCTTTAACAGTGATAAAAGCTTTGGCAGCTGGTTATCAAAATCACTTTACTTGCTTTTAAAGAAATGCTCGAAAGAAAAATCAGAGACCCCAAGCAACAAACTTTTGGAAGGGTTTACTGCTTTCTGAAAACATAACAAAGATAAAGAATATTAAATTATTCCTTTTGGCACCATAACAGGCATACTTAAAACAAAAGAGAACAACAAAAACAAAACATACCTATCCCAAATGAAATGCACTTTGAAGTCTTCAACATGAAAGAAGAAAATGGAAATTCTAGATTTCCTTAAAGAAGGAATTGGTCCTAGGGGCTTTGCAGATCCTGGGCAAGTGCTCTACCACTGACTATATAGTCAACCCATTTCCCATTCCTTTTTTTCTTTTTCACTTCATTTTTGAGACGTCTCATCAAGTTTTCAAAGCTGTAGTTCAACTTGCTTTGTAGCCTGAACAGACCTTAAATTTTTCTATCTTCTTGCCTCATCTTCTAAAACAGCTGGGGTTACAGGTGTGGGCTACCAGGCCAGGAAAGATAAAGAATATTTTTTATCTTGGTTTTAAAATTAGTCTGTACCGCTGGGCATGGTGGTTCATGACTCTAAGCCTAACACTGAGAATCCCAAGCAGAGGATCACCATAAGTTTAAAATCTGGGCTATAAGTGAGTTCTAGATTAGCTTAGGATACAGAATTCAGACTTTCTCAAAACAAACAAACAAAAAATCCCCAACAACCCTAAGTAAACAAATCAGGAAATATCTTGGAAAAATCTTTTCTCAGAATAGCGTTTTTTTTTTTGTTGTTGTTGTTTGTTTTGGTTTTTTTTCTGAGAAAGGGTCCCATTCATGTAGCTGAGGCTGGTCTTAAATTCCCTGTTACCAAGGATAAACTTAAATTCATAATCCTCTTTCTGTTTACCTCCCAAGAGCTGGGAATATTACAGACAGGCACTATCAGGCCCAGCCTTCCTACCTTTCTCAAGTTTTGAATTCAGATAAAATAAATCTGAAGGTTAAAAGGAAAAGCAGGCAAAGGTAAGAAGCCCCCAAATCAGGAAGTCTTTCAAAGCCCTTTCTTTTTACTCATAGATTTAGAGAGATATGAATGTGCCTGTGAACTCTGAGGAAAGGAATCTAACAAAACTACAGTAATCTCAAATCTTAAGGGTCTCTCTATGTAGTCCTAGAATTCACATTTAGACGAAGCTGGCCTTGAACTCACAGAGATCCACCACCCTCTGCCTCCTGAGCCTTGAGATTAAAGGTGTGCACCACCATGCCTGGCTCAAATCTCCAACGATTTTTACTGTATCAGTACATTTCGTTATGTACACCAATAAAGACAATGTAGTAAAAAAAAAAAAAAAAAAAAAAAAAAAAAAAAAAAAAAAGACCCCCAAAATCTCTATTAAACCCAGCATCATGGGGTTTGACTACAATCCCAGCACATAGAAGGCAGAAGCAAGAGACAAATTGGAGCCCAGTCCAGTCTACACAGCAAGTTTCAGACAAGCTAGGGCTACATAGCAAGACTCTGTCCCCAAAACACAAAAAATAAGATCTTTACTAAAACAGGAATAAAATTCATGGTTACTTCTGGGGCAGATTTACTAATTATTGGCTTGTTCTATCATCATTAAAAGTAAGCAACAAATCTAAGTGTGATGGCATATAACAGTAATACTTGAGAGGTTGAGATAAGAGGATTAGGGATGGGGGGGGTCATCCTTGCTATATAGTGAGTTGGAGGCTTACACGAGACACAGTCTCAAGAAACAGAATAAAATTTCACTCTAACGATGTTATGTGAACCAAAAGTACTTGCCTTAGAATAAACATTTTGCTATAGTTTTCTTTCTAATGTTAATTCAGCTGTCTTTTTGTTTCCTAGGTATTTACATTTATGATGCTCAATCTCCACCTAAGAGAAAACAACCCTCATGTGTTATTTGTTGGCTTTTTATTTTGATGCTGATGCTGAAGTTCAAACACAGGACACTGCATGTATAAAGTGCTCTACCAAGAAACTGCCGTCCCAGTACGTGTTAAGTGGTTTGTAAAGGCATTAAGCAAATTTTCAGCATTTAAAAATGGTGGCCCACACATACACAGGTATAAGTTAAGTTATTCTTTATGGAGAAGTGATCAAAAATAGTCTGTTCCTCCCAACAATCTCCAATATTTTCACTACTATAAGAACCTGGGCAGATTTTTATAGAACACTGGAGAGTACACACTTTGTAACAGTCTCTGCAGGAAGCAAAAGACATGTTCTTGTCCCATAAGGAGTTATCTAGTGAGACCATTCTACTTCTACCAACCCTAAAATGCTGTGTTTACTGTAGAGCCAGCCACTTCTTTCTTTTTTGGACAAACTGCTTAGTAAACGTTTGCTGTTTTGAGAAAAAGTCATTCCATTTAATTTATAATGCACCCTTGTATTTAAACCGCCTTTAAAGATCTAACTACACAATGCACACTGTCAAACCCAACTATCAAACACCACAGCAGGTCATCAAAAAGGGCTGGGTGTGTCATTTAAACTAAATGTGTTAATGTGAGGTTTATTTACTACCAAACTTTTCTGGAGTTGAAAAAAAAAAAGTCTACTGGCTACTATTCCTCGCTGAACAGGAAGCCAAAATTACTTTGAAAAAATTATAGTTAAGAAGATTAAGACAGACAGAAGGGATGGAGTCACCTTGGGGCCATACACGGACACAAGACAGCAGCAGCAGGAACAAAAGTCAAACTCTTAAGCAAATGCCCTGAGGTTTACAGATTTATTTTTTATCAAATTAGTTCAATCGTCACTAGCTGAGAAAAGACCAGGGTGTGTAGTTAGGTGGATAGATAATACCAGACAGAGGACCTCTCCCTGTCAAGGAGTCATGACAGCAAAATCACTTCCTGAGGAAGGAGGAGCAAAAGGGAAGTTAAGGAGGCAACTCTGATCAGGAAGTGACTCGTCCCAAACTAACCCCAATCTTTGCTATAAATGGGGAGGGGGGAGCCCCAACAGCCAAAGGCGGTAAAATAGCTGCTGCCTGACACGTCCCAACATCACCTTCATCCCCTCTCTTATAATTATATAAAAGAAAGTACAGTTAAAAGTCAATCAGGTAAAGTGTCTCCTCTTTTAAAGGAAAGCTGTGCTCGATCAAGAATGGAAAGAGTTGAGGCATGGGGAACTGGGGCCACCGTGAGGCAAAGGAAAGCCCCTTTAAGGAAGGAAGCGTCCCGGGTGCACAGGGAGTATGCCAGCACCGGGAAACGGGCTTTTTTTTTCCCGGGGACACCGCCAGGCTTCCCACTGCTGCCGGCTCGGACCCCTAGGCCCCGTCGGGGGAGGAGGTAAAGGAGAGAGGCGGACCCCTTACCTTCTCCTCATCCGACACCCGATCCTCGAAGTCGGCCATCTTGGCTGCTCTGGCCCAGCCCGGCGACCGGCGCGAGGCAGGCCGGGAAGGAAGCTGAGTGGTGGAATCACCAAGGGGGCCGTCGGAAGGACCCGCCCGGAAGCTCCGGCCAAAAGGGCGCCATGTCAGTTCCGCGCGGGTGTGACAGCCTGGAGTGGCAACGCTCTAGGAAAGTAGGCTTTGCCATCGAGGCCTCGGAGTCTTAACATCTTTCTCACTGAATTTCAGTCACTTTCCCATCCATCCTGGAAGCTCGGTGGCGACTCTCGACTGTCCGTGGCGCCAGGGCTACCTCTGGTCATGCAGCAGTTCCTACACCTATGAGTTTTCCTGGTCCCGCAGGTCTCCGAGGCAGCCGAGTCCAGTGCGCTAAGAGCTGCCCGGCTCTAGGCAACACCAGTACTTTTCCAGTCCCGGAACGGGGCGAAAGATGACCCCCAACCTCATAGGGAACCACAACCACTTCCCTCCAGCGCCACACTGAGTCCGTTTCCTGCAGAATAAGTGCCACCTTCGAATCCTTCCCCGCCCTCCTAGAGGACCAGGTGGCCCCTCGGTCTGAGGTCGCGCTCCGTCGCCTTCCCGATCTCTGTCCAGGTCCCCAGGACTCAGCCTTGACAGAGGCCAGCTTCAAGTCCGCCACTATCCCAGGATTCCCAACTCCGGGTTTCCTGCCCTTCTCCCCTCCCAGGTCCCGGCGCCTGCCGGAGCCGCAAGATGGCGGACGGGGAATACTTCGCGGAAGCCGCGCGGGCTGTGGGGTGTCCCCATGCACCTGTTCCCGGCTTGGGCCTGGGCCCGCCGCTGGGCTGGAAAGAGCGGCTGAAGGCCGGGCTGGCGAACTCTGGGTCCACGCTGTGGTTCCTGGCGGGGCTGGGGCTGCTTTACGCTCTGAGGGTCCCGCTGAGGCTGTGTGACAACGTGACAGCGGGTGAGAGGCCCAAACCTCCTGGACGGTCGGGGACAAGCGCCAAAGTGCAGAGATTCTCGGGGAGTCGTGGAGGGCTTTGGAGAAGGCATTGGTGTTGCATGCTCCAGTGGGTTATTTTTTTTCCCCCCCTTGGGCCACAACAACCGGGCAGCTGATTGTCAAACCTGTGCTGCAGTTTGCCGGCCCCTCCCTAGAGCTCTGAAGGTTCGCTCTCTCTGTTCTGCCTACATTACCGCAGGAAAAACTATCTGACAAGCTGCAAGCTTCAGGTAGTAAGACAGAAAAGAGCATTTCTGTCTTACAGAAAAGAGCAGTTACCAACACACAATTTATATACATACATTCTTCTTATTTGCAACTATCTGACAAGCTGCAAGCTTCAGGTAGTAAGACAGAAAAGAGCATTCCCAGTTACCAACACACAATTTATATACATACATTCTTCTTATTTGTAGCCCCCCTTTAAAATAGTGCCTTTGAGTCTCCAGCCGCCTAGCTTAAAGAACCCGCACCCAGAAAATCAGCATTATCTGTAATACTATGATTTCAGAGGACCATGCTTCCTTCTAGTGTAAGATAGTTCTGTTAAGAAACGTTTTTCGTGGTATTTTTATCTTTCAGACTTTATCATGAGTAATAAAAAGAGTACAGGAAAGGGAGAGGAAGAGAAGCACAAGCAACATTGGGTTTGTTTAGTATGCTCTTTCAGCATTTGTGCAATGTTTGTTATGTAGCCCAGGCTAAAGATAAAGACTTGTAAGCAAGTCTTTTATATTCTGCAAGTACTATTCCTTAGCCATAGTGGGATAAAATGACGGGGTCCTGAGCCTTTTACAATGTTATTGAAGTATTTCTGCAGCCTCAAAAGACGAAGTATTTCTGTTATGTGGTGACTCTATTAATTTTTCTATCCTGTGAGAAGGCAGTGGTCTCTCTTTTCTATCCCATGAGATAACATGAAAGATTGCGGGATAATGTTCTGAAATGCTTTGAGTATTTTAGAGGATAGGTAACATACCTATCTTATTTGTCTGTAACAGGCGGATGAAGTGCTTAATGGTGGTTTCTATGCTCATTAAAATGCTATTCATTGGGTTTGTTGTTTATTTTCCACTTATTATTGTTGCTGGTTTGAGGCAGGACATAGCCAAGACTGGCCTTGAACTCCTGATTTTTTTTTTTTTTTCCCCTCAAGACAGGGTTTCTTCTCCGTGTAACAGTCCTGGCTGTATTGGAACTCACTTTGTAAACCAGACTGGCCTCGAACTCACTGAATCTGCCTGCCTCTGTCTCCCAAGTACTGGTATTAAAGGTGTGCCACCACCGCCTGGCCTGAGCCCCTGATCTTTTGAGTATCACTTTTCAAGTGGTGGGATTAGAAGACTGTGCTATCTAGCCTGTCTTTAAAAAAAATTATCTTACACATTATCTCTCTGTATAGTCCAGAATATCCTCAGGCTAGAGTCCTTCCTGCCTCTCAGCCTCCAGAATGCTAGAATTGCAGGCTTGAACTCCCCAACCTGCTACTTTGGTTTCATTTTCTAAGTTTTTAATTGCATGTACCATTTAGATGAGAGTTAATTATTACAGACATTTTATTTTTAACTCAAAATTGGGGCTAGAGATGTAGCTCACTTGGTAGAGTGCTTTCCTAGCATACAGGAAGCTTGGGTTCAATTCTCAGCACCCATAAACCAGGAATGCTGATGCACGCTTGTGATCCCAGCACTTGGGGGTTAGATACAGGATTATCAGTCGTTCAAGGTCATGCTCAGCTCCATCCTCAGTGAGTTTGAGACCATCCTGGACTCTATTAAACCACTTTTTAAAAGTATGTTTAACTTATTACTATATATTTACTAAAGTTCTAGTGTAGATTATGTCTTGTGTTTTAGATTTTTAGAAAAGCAGGTTAAATTATCTCATTTTGACTTTTGATTTTCTTTTTTGTTGTTGTTCTGTTGTTTTTCAAGACAGGTTTCTTGTGTGGCCCTGGCTGTCCTGGAACTCTGTAATGTCCATGGTCACTCTGTAGACCATGCTGGCATTGAGTTTACAGAGATCTGGGATTAAAGGAGTGTACCACCACCACCACCACCACTGCACAGCTTTTTTTCTTTTTTTGACCCTGGAGATTGATTTTAGGGCCATTTACATGCCAAGCCTCATTATGATTTACTTCTTATTTAACTAAACAACAGTATGAAATCCCACTTTTATATACATGAGAAAATTCTTAAGATATGAAACAATGGGGTTATAAAGCTACTTATTTTAAAAATGCATAACATTTGTTTTTATAACTTTTTTAAATGAATTTCACTTTAGATAATAATATAGACAGGCCGGGCGGTGGTGGCGCACACCTTTAATCCCAGTACTCAGGAGGCAGAGGCAGGTGGATCTCTGGGAGTTCGAGTCTACAAGAGCTAGTTCCAGGTCAGCCTCCAAAGCCACAGAGAAACCCTATCTCGAAAAACCAAAATAATAATAATAATAATAATAACAATATAGACAGTTATTGACCTAGGGTGGTCAGCTTAGAAATTTTGAGTTTTGCAATAATGGAAAAGCTGTCTGCATTCAGGAGAAATTTGAATTTTGATCTTTTCCTGAAATAGCAACATGATCTCTATGATGCTAGGCAGCAGTAAGCTACTGGTTCCCACTCATCATTCATACTCTGTGGAAAGTAAACAGCCAATGCTATCCAAGGCATTATGTTGCTAAGCTATGGCATTTGGAAGATTAGAGATATTACCTACACTTTTTTTAAAAGATTTTTTAAATTTATTATGTATGCAACATTTTGCTTCCATGTATATTTGCACACCAGAAGAGGACACCAGATCTCATAACGGATGGTTGTGAGCCACCATGTGGTTGCTGGGAATTGAACTCAGGACCTCTAGAATAGCACCCGGTGCTCTTAACCTTTGAGCCATCTCTCCAGCCCTACCTACACTTTTTACTTACAGTATTTTCAATTTATAGGCTTGTTTGGACATAACCTCACCAAGTCAGGCATCTGTGTTGCTTGCCTCCCTCCATCTAAAGATATTTATATAACTGTAATGTACTTTAAATTGTACCTTGTAAAAACTCTGCTTGTAAAAACACTGTTTTCTCTTTTAACAGTGACAGGGTTTTTAAGTTCGTTGACACCCAAGTTCTATGTGGCACTTACAGGGACATCTTCTTTGATATCTGGACTAATATTTGTAAGTAGTTTCCATTTTGTTCATTTCTATTTTGATATTTATTTAAAGATTGTTTATGTTTTTAAAAATTTATAAGTGTTTGTCAAGGTCTCCAAAATGTGTTTGATATTTAGAAAACCTTACCTAGAGAAACAAGTTTGAGAAATACCACATTTCCCTCTCTTCTTTGATGAGTGTGTTAGTATTGATTATATGTTAAGTTTCTTTTTGAGACAGGGTCTCATTATGTAGCCTAAGCTGGCCTTGAACCCAAGGCAGTTCTCCTGCCCCTACCTCCTGAGTGCTGGTATTGCAGGGGTGAGTTTCCATGCCCAACTTCACTCATTGTGTTAATTTGTATGCAGGGATAGCAGATAACTCAGCAGGTAAAGGTGCTGGCTGCCAAGTCTGACTGACGGCCTGGGTTGCCGTCTAATCGCCACTCGTGTACTTCCATGCTTATACACATACACACAAATATAATAATTAAAAAAACACCTATATACTAACTATAGTTAAGAGAAGGTTGGTCAAGATGGATTAGAAGTTTAATGATCAAAGTGTCTACATTATTATTTCAAAATGAATGGGGGACTGGGGAGATGGCTTAATCAGTAAAATGCTTGCCATGTAAACATGAAGATCTGGGTTCAGGTCCCCAGCACTCACATAAACAGTAGGGAATGCTTGCATACCTGTTATCCCAGGCCTGGGAGGTACAGACAAGAGGGCCCCTGGGGCTTGCTGGCCAGCTACACTAACCAAATGAGTGAGCTCCAGATTCAGTGAGAGACCTTATCTCAGAAAGTAAAGTAGGGAGTGATTGTGGAGACACCTGACCTCTACACACATGTGCACAGACATGCACAAATATGTAAATATCCATCTTTCATACCAGAATTAATGAAATGTGTTATTCTATGACTACTGTTACCAAATTTTTTGATTTTTCAAATGGTTTCATGAGAATCTGAGTGTCAGAATTTATTTATTTACTTTAGAAACAGAGTCTCTTATAACCTAGTTAACTTTAACTCATTCTGTACTTCAGGCTGGCCTTGACCTCCTGGTCCTCTTCCTTTTGCTGTACAAGTATACACCATCATGTCCAGTTTATTCAATGCTGAGGCTGAAATTTAGGGCCTTGTGTGTACTAGGCAAGCACTTTACAACTGAACTGCACTCCAGACCCTGAATATGCAGGTTTTATATAAAATCTAGCAACATTTTAATTTTAACAGTATTGAGACGAGTATAATTTAAAAAATGTTTATTTATTTTTATGTTTATGGATGTTTTGCCTGCCTGTGTGATCCTGTACCATGTATGTGCAGTGCCTACAGAGGAGGGTGTTGGATTCTCTAGGACCAGAGCCACACATGGTTGTGAGCCACCATGTGATTGATTGCTGGGAATTGAACCCAGGTCTGCTGGAAGGGCAGTCAGTGCTCTTAATGGCTGAGGCATCTTTCCAGCCCCTGAGCAGACTATGACATGTCTGGAATTTAGCCTTCACTTTTCTAAGCCCCAGCTTCTTCTCTGTAGATAGGAAAATAATAGTACTCATTTCACAGGACTGAAGAAATTAAATGAGATAATATGTGTAAACATTTGTAATTTGGCTCAGGGAGCATTACTGAGTTTTGGCTGTTATTCTGAGAAGTTTCACAATAAGGGACACCATTTGACTTTAACTCATTATTTGCTTCAATAAGATATTACTTTTAATTTTAAAAATATTGTAAAATATGTTAATTATTGACATCTCTAAGGTCTAATATTTCTTATTGTATGCTTTGGGAAAATTCTGCTACAGATAAAAGTATTAAATATTTGTTATGCCATTCTTTTCTGTTCTTTTTTCTCATCTGTAGGTGGTGCTCTACAGCTTTAGTAGAAATCATAGTATTTTTTTGACCTTTATAAATCTTTGAGATAAGGTCTGAAAACACAGAGAGTTTGTATTTATAAATGATAAGCCACAGAAGTACAATGAATATCCTGATTTTTAAATAGTTCCACCCGGGGAAGAACTTGTCTTAACCTATAATAATAGCTAACTATTAGACCAGTACTTTTTGGTTCAGAAAGCACTTTCTTAGGATTCTTGTTGGTTAAATTTACTGTGTGAAGATACTGAGGCTCTGAGATGTTAGAGACTAATTGACTTGCCCAATATACACAGTTAATAAATAGTAGAATTGTTGTGCAACTTGGAAATTTGATCCTAGTTTAGTACTAATTGCTTTAAAGTGATTTTTAATTATGCTGCCGATAAAACCAGATGATAGCAACACATGAAGAGTTACATGTAGATTAGAAACTCTTTCTTTATTGAAGCTTCCCATTGTGTAGCCTGTACTAGTCTGGATTTGATGGTCCTCCTGCCTCTGTCTTCTAAGAGTTGGGATTAAAGGCATGAGCTATCACACCTGACTTACTCTTATTAGCCTGTAATGTCTTTTAACAAGTGCAGAGTGTTGCCTTTGCTTATTTGAGCATCATGATAAATCCATAAGAAAGGTATTTTACTTTTATGTGGCATATGCATTTAGGGAATCTTGGATTTGGATTTTTTCTTCTGCTTGCTCCCTCACCCACCCAGGCAGAGATAATGCATTTAAAGTGCTTAGTAGAATAGGAACATCTCTCTAATTTCTATTTATAAATTGCATTTTAAATGAAAGGTGTTTTGTTTTGCTATAGATATTTGAATGGTGGTACTTCCATAAACATGGCACATCATTTATTGAGCAAGTGTCTATAAGCCATTTGCGACCACTGATGGGAGGAACAGAGAGTAGCATTTCAGAGCCGGGTTCTCCTGCCAGCAACAGAGAAAGTGAAACCCTGAGACACCACCATCTATCAGGTGATTTCTTTTTGGTGTTTTCAGAGCTATGTAATTCAGATTGATTTCACTTACAGAGGATCAGTCTCAATACAATAGAAGATAGTAGTTTATATGTTTATGCCATCTTCACATGTAATGTAATGATGTTAGGAGATAGGGGCTTTGGGAAGTGATTACATCATGAAGGTCAAACTTTCATAGATAGAATTAGTGTCCTAAGGAAAGAGACCCCAGAGAGCTAATTACTCCTGTCACTTTATGAGGAAATAATGAGAGGGCCATCCACAAACCAGAAACTGAGTCTTTACCAGGCACTAAATCTTCCAGCATCTTGAACATGGATTTCCAGTCTCCAAAACTATAGGAATAAATTTCTGTTGTTCTTATGATATGTTCAATTTATGGTATTTTGTCATAGGAGTCCAAAAGAATAAAATAGGGACAACCTTGCCTTTGCTGTAAATGTAGGTAACCCATGCTGTATAGAGAACAGTTATCAGAGTTGCAGACCCCTTCTATTGTAGCCTATCATCTCCAGACACAGTTTGTTTATTTATTTGTTTATTTATTGAGGCAGAGTTTCACTATGTAGCCCTGGCTGGCCTGGCATTCACCCTATACTACAGTCTAGGTTGGTCTCAAACTCACAGAGAAAGAGATGTACCACAATGCCCAGCAGATGCAGTTTTAAATTTGTGGTCCAAGGTACTTGTTCTGGTTTTAGCCATCATATCTACCTTCTATTCAGTAGGAAAAAGAAAAGCCCTCACTTCTCCTAACTCATCCTACACTATTCAGAAGTGCCTAGCATGTACAAGGCCCTGGTTCAATTCCCAGCACCACCAAACTGAAAGTGTCAAACATTCGTAATTCTAGTATGTGAAAGATTGAGGCAGAAGGATCAGGAACTGACAGTCATCCTTAGCTAAGATTGAAGGAACTCTGTGCTATGTACAAGAGGGTAAAGGTAAAATATCATGAGGTGAAGTCTTAATCTAATAAGATTGTTATGGGGGGGGGAGATTACTCTCTCTCTTACTAACACTCAAAGACAGTAAAAAGGCTACTTACTATCTCTCTAAGCCTGTTGAGAGGCTGAAGGGTTTTGATATGTGTGCCAGAAATATAGACATTTCAAGTGCTGTGATTATAGATGTGAGCCACCATGTTATTTTATTTTGTAGTTTTTCTTGTAACTTTTAGTCTGTGTGTCAGCCTAAACATCCTGTGCAAGCAGTTTTGTGTGTGTGTATACATAGTTGTCCACATGTGTGTGCCCATATGTGCTTGTACAAACAACTTATAGGTAGTAACTTTTTTTTTTTTTTAGATTTTCTTATATTGTTTTATGTGTATTATGAGTGTTTTGCCTGCATGTATGTTTGTATATCACATGTGTGCCTGGTGCTCAAGGAGGTCATAAGAAGTCATTCAATCCCCTGGAAATGGAGTTAGGAATGGTTGTCAGTCACCACATGGGTTTTGGGAGCCCAACTAGGATTCTCTGAAAGAGCAACAAGTGCCAAGTCATCTCTCCAGCTCGCGCAAACGTAGTTTTTGAGTGATGTATCTGAAGCTCATCATTTTGCTACCCAGCCCCCAGAAACTGCCTGTCTTCACTTTCCTAGCATAGGATTACAGAAGTGTGCTGCCTCATCTGGCTTTTATCAGGTCCTAGGGATCCACTCAGGTCCTCATGCTTATGCAGCAAACACTATATACACGGAGCCATCTCTTTAGGCCTGATGTATAATTTTATACTTCCTCAGCTTGGATGTTCTGTGTCTGGAAACCTACTCTTGGAGGTTTTTAATATTAGTTCAAATGTCACTTCCCTTGTAAAGTCTTCTGTGATTGGCTACCTTTTTTTGTCTTGGAATCAAACATCTCTACTACAGTACATGTCAAATAGTTCAGCTAATTCTCATGCTATGCAAGTCGGTTCCAGAAGCTGTGATAGGATCTAGGAATATAAGAGCGAATGAAGTTTTTTTTGTTTTTTTTTTTTTAAGATTTTATTTATTATGTGTATAGTCTTGTGCCTGCATGCCAGCAGAGGGCACACGATCTCATTCAAGGTGGTTGTGAGCCACCATGTGTTGCTGGGAATTGAACTCAGGACCTCTGGAAGAACAGTCAGTGCTCTTAACCACTGAGCCATCTCTCCAGCCCCGCGAATGAAGTTTTAGTAGATCCAATTTTATAGAGGAAACTGAAACACACTGGTAATCACATGGTTATTCAGTAAGAATTGTAACTGAATTATGAATAAAACGTCATTGAGACAAATACATTAATAACTAGATTTTATTCTGTGCTTCCCAAGAGCAAGGGTGACTTGTACCTCTTTCATATTTGTGCTGTCTGTGGCTGGTACGCTGTTTAAAGCACAGGATCAGCAGTAAGTGTTGGTTAGTGAAGATTTACTTGCATTTGATTAAACTAACTTTTACTCTTGTTTTTTAGAATGCAAGGTCTGGAGAAACCCTTTAAACCTCTTTAGAGGAGCAGAATATAGGAGGTAAGATACTTTGCTTTTCAGTGTAAGTATGGTGTTAGTTTTAGAGTAAAAGTACTGTGGAATACTTCTTTATAAACATACTACAGCCTCTTCTAATTGGAGATACTGACAATATGAATGTCAATTAAAGTGAATGATTAGCTCAAGGGTAGGTATTTCCTTGCTGTGTTTACTTTTTTGAATATAAAAGGAAATAACAGCTCTTTAAAATTTTGGCTTTTCATATGTGTATATGATATATTCTGGTAACACTGATCTCTTCATCTTCTCTTCCCTTTTCCCATTCCCACCAATCTCCTCTTCCTCCCACCAATTCTCAATTCTACTCCCACGTGTTTTTTGTCATGGAGCTCGAGGAAGTCACCAGTGGCTATCACTGAAGATAATGGCTTCTGCTCCTCCGGAGGCCCTTGACTACCATTAGTCCCTGTCCCATCTATGACTGAGTATTTATTGGCTCAGTCTTATGAAGGCAACTGTAGTTGAGTTTATGAGTGCCATGGTCTTGCATACCCATAAGACAGCATTTCATAGTCCTCCTCCCCATTGTTCAGCTCTTACATTTTTTTTCTGCTCTCTCTTCTGTTGGGGCTTTTTCCTCCTCGCTCTCTTTTTATTCTGCTTTTGTTGTTATTTTGAGTCAGGGACTCAATATGCAGCCATGGATGTCTTGGAACTCATATATAGACTAAGTTGGCCTTGAATTTACAGAGATCCATCTGCCTCTGCCACATCAGAGTGCTGAGTGCTGGGATTAAAAGCATGTATTTACCATGTACATTATTGCTTGTTTGTTTTGTTTTTTGTTGTTGTTTTGAGATGGGATCTCTCTATAGATTCGTGACTGTCCTGTAACTCAATATGTAGACCCGGCTGGCCTCAAACTTACAGAAATATGCCTGTTTCCTCCTCCCTTGTGTTGGTACTAACGTTGTACACTACCACACCCAGCCTTTGTTGTTTTTTAAAAACAAGGTCTCCTGTAGCCTTGTTAATATAGTATCCATTTCATGTAAATCTTTTTTTTAATTAGTTCAGATAAGGAATTTCATGTAAATCTTTATGAGAAACTGCTTACTATTAGAAATATTTGTTTAGTATCTAATTTTTAGAAAATTGTAATGAATAATTTATTGGTTTATTTTGTTTTTGAGACATGTTCCATTCTATAACTGAGGCTATCTTGAAATTTGCTATGTGGCTCAGCTAGCCTCAAACTCATAGGCATGATCCACCATGCCAGGATGAATAATTTATTTTTTTAATGTTTTATTTTTGAACCATAGAGTAGTACTTTTTTTACCTTTTACTGATATAATAAGCTTTAAAAACACTCTGAAATATAGCTTGTAGTCACTTATTTTTGGAACGTAAGTGTCTGTTGTAGCAACTGAAACATCTTGTGTTTGCTACAGATATACTTGGGTGACTGGTAAAGAGCCCCTTACTTACTATGACATGAACTTGTCTGCCCAGGATCACCAGACCTTTTTCACCTGTGAAACAGACTTTTTACGTCCTTCAGACACAGGTATGTATCTATTCATGCTACAGACAGTGATTGTAAAAGTTATTTCATGTGTTTTCTAAAGCTATTTATTATAGTATACAGTTACTTGGCTTGGAGTTACTTGCATTTTAGATAAGAAATTCAGATTACAGTGAATTATGATTATAAACTAAGCTAATGTACTATTTTTTATAAGAATTTTAAATGTTTTATGCTTTTTTATTACTTAAAACAATTTCAGAGCCAGATGGTGGTGGTGCATGCCTTTAATCCCAGCACTTGGGAGACAGAGGCAGGGAGATCTCTGGTTCAAGGCCAGCCTGATCTACAGAGCTAGTTCTAGGACAGCCAGAGCTGCATATAGAGAAACCCTGTCTTGAAAACCCAAGAAAAAAAATGAGTGAATGAATAAATAATAAACAAACCAAAAAAATTCAGAACAAATATAACAGAAAATAGTATACATTGCTTTGGTCTGGGAAACAATTACCTGACACAGAGCAGGGACTGGGAAAATAGTCCAGTGAGTAAAGTGCTCACTATGCAAGTCTGAAAACAGGAGTTTAGATCTCTAGAACCTGTGTAAAGCCCTGTGCTCTTATGGGGAGATGAGAGACAAAGATAGGAGAATCCACAGATGTTCAAGAGCCAGCTAGAGCAACTAGATCCTATCACAAACAACATGGAAGGTGAGGACCAACATCTGAGATTATCCTCTGGCCTCTGCACATGCATTTGTGCATGTGTGTGCAGGAGCATACACACACACACACACACACACACACACACACACACACACACACTGAACATTGGGGAATGATATGTAGAAGAAACAGTGTATGTTTTGTTCTAGTCAAAAGTGAAGGAAGATTCATGTAAAGTGGTAGTTTATAAAAATGTCCATGTTTTAGGCCTCTCTAAGCTGTTTTGCTGGGGATACAGCTTAGTGGTAGGGGCCTTTCCTAGCATTTATGAAACTCTGGGTCTGAGAGTTAGCACCAGCAAGTGGCAGGAGTATATGACCTAAAGACAGGACCAGTTTTCCCAGTACTCTACTTTGAATACCTTTGTTCTGTCTGTGTGATGACTTAGCAGTCATATTCTTTAAGTCACCTTCTTTGGAAGCTCTATAATATAGTATGTGTTGTACAGTCTTTGATGCAATTATGAATAGATAGATGGATGGCTTGGTATTTCACAGTAAGTAATTTCATTAATAATAATTAACACATGACAGCATGTGTACTAATTTGATCTTCCCAATCACTCTAGGAACTATTACCAGCCCACCTTTTAAAAAGAAGGTACCAAGCTGAATATGATGGTTTATGCCTATAATCCTAACACTCTGGAGACTTAAGCAGGAGGATTGCCTGAAGTTCAAGACAAGCCTGGGCTATACAGTTCTAGGTCAGCCCGGGTTACATACAGTGTGAGTGTGTCTCAAACCCAAACAAACAAATAGGAACTGAAGCAAAGGGCAGTCAAGTTGTGTAACTCACAACTAATAATTATAAAGCTGGACTTCAAATGCAGTTATGGGTCTTGACCACTACACTACTGCTACTTCAACTGGCTGCACTGGGAGAAGAGAATCAGCAGTGAGGGTCTGAAAAAGCCAGTTTCTTAGCGTTGAAGTGAGCTCATTGTGTCATATTGTTGCTGAATAAAATGTGGTAAGGGTTGGTGGCAGTGAGAAAATCAAGGGTCTTTGACAAAGTTTTTAAGTTGGATTAATTGCAAATGTAGGAGAAAATTGCTTACTCTTTATGGTCACAGCAAAAGTATGTGTCTTAAGAGAATCTGCAATAGACCATCAGTATTGTGTTAGAAGCTGAGATGTTTGTAGAAATCAAATGTCATCTTATTTCTCCCGCTCGCAGACTGAATTGAAAACATCCCCAAGCTTCTCAGACAGCTCTGATGGCTCTTTAGGGCACTTCTGTTTGAACAGTTCCCTAAAGAATTTTGAAAGTCTGTGTGTCTTTTCACACATTTTAAGCATCAAATCATAAGGTTAAATAATTTCAGAGAATATAATTTTCGTTATATTAGAAAATATAGACATTTTAAAAGTAACAATTATTCCCTTTATTTGAACGTATACCATAAAAATCATAAGGTTTTACATGTGTGTGCCTGCCAGGATAGATGCTTGCATGCCAAGCATATTTATTCCGGAGCTGCATCTAAGAATTTGATAACAGCTATTTTCCATCAAAAACTGTAGGAACAAATACTCTTTTAACAGTAGTAAGCCTTGTAAAAGTCCTTTTTGTTTTTGTTTTTGAGAATGGGTCTTATTACATAGTCCAGATCGAATCACATTTGAGAACCTCCTGCCTTAGCCTCCCACATGCTTGAAATTGCAAGTATACATCAATGTAAGTTACTTTCTTCTTGAATTCTTATCTCTTCTATGCCATTATATAATTTTATAATCATGTTATGCTTGACAGTCATTTACTACTCTTGCAACTCTTCTGCAATAGTCATTTTATATAAAATTATGTTACATTTGGCCATAAGATTCTGAATGCTATGATGTATTTCTTCTTTCATCTATCTATCTATCTATCTATCTATCTATCTATCTGTCTATCTATCTATCTGTCTATCATCTATCTATGTTTTTTGAGACAAGTGTCCTGGAACTCAATATGTAGAACAGGCTGGCCTTAAACTCGAAGAGATCCTCCTGTCTCTGCCTCCCAAGTACTGGGATTGAAGGGATGTGCCACCACATTTTACTATTATGATGTATTTTAATTATATTCTTATCAAATCTTTAACAGCTATGTACTTAGCTATTTTTTCTCTCCTGAAAATATGCCCTTTAAGTCCTAATTAGGTGTCTTCATTGTCAATCCAATCAAATCATACTTACAGAAAAATCTGACTCTATTCTCCATTTTTCAGTTCAGACAGGTATAAAAGCATCTCCATCATAACCATTTCTCTTATATATTAGATTTTTGCTTGTTTTGTGAGGTGTGGTCTCCTTTATAGCCCTAGTTGTCCTTAAACTCATGATCCTTTTGCCTAAGCTAGGGTTATAGTACTCTAATGCCCAGCTCTGGATTAAGATTCTGAAGAGAAAGATGAAATTTTGAACTTTGCCTAATGTTTGTCACTTGCCAGACTGAAGCAACACTGCTTTTATTATTCCTTGCCAATGTACTTTTTTACTTCCTGTAAGGACCTTCTCTTAGGAGTAATTAACTTTTTTAAATAGTTGGGACTAATTAAAATGGTTATCATTCCTTAATTAAAAGCATCTAGGAGCCAAATATTCTATTTATTTATTTAGCATTCATTTTTGAAAGATTCTCATGTAGCTCAGGTTGTTAACTTCAAATTCCCCATATACTGATAATGTCCTTGAATTTCTGATTTTTCTACCTTTACCTGAATGCTAGGATTATACCCAGTCCATGTGGTGCTGGGATTGAATCCAAGACTTTGTGCATCCGAGGCAGGCATTCGACCAAGAAAGCTACATCCCCAGTGTGGAAGAATGTTGTTCCTCACTGTAGAGTTCTAAAGAAGTAAAAGGCAGGAATCCTCATTTTCAGGTGCCTTGATTTAGGGTGACTGTCCTCAGCCAGACTTGATGGTTCATGCCTATAACCCTAATACTTGGAAGGCTGAGGCAGGAGAATTTTAACTTTACTTCGAAAATAAACAAACAAGGACCGCCATCTCCCAAGCTGACTGCTCCAAATCTAAACTGTGTCGTACCATTGGTACCTAGAGGTTTTGAGCAGTTCATACACACTGAATCTTGGAAGATTTGGAGAGGCTAAGAGGCGACCCTTTCTTTTGTAAGCTAGAAAGGAGAGCACCTCTCAGGAGAGGGGTTAGTTATGGTTAGGTAGGAAAGGCTGACTAGACTAGTCAGAGGAGGATTCTTCAGGTAAATCAGTTATAGGAAATAATCATATGAATTTTAATAAACTAAGGCTTTTGACATCTATTTTCTTAAGACCTCGTGCATCATTTTGGTCTTTGCAGTTTCTCGTACTTCCAGAGGTGTGTGTAATCTAGTTAAATACTGAACTCACAGATAGACTTTGTTGAGTGAGAATTCAGAATGAACTGTCAGTTTCCCTTTTATCCTTTCAGACACTCATAAAGGCAATGATTCATGTCAGTATAGCTTTTTATAGTAAATAAGGCAAACATGCACAAGTGAGATGTAGTAAATTTCCCTTTACTTATTGTCATCAGCAGTCATTATATTAATAGATTTTGCTCTTATCTAATTGATTTGTTGGTTTAAATCTGAGAATAAGCATTCCTTCAAGAGCTGGGTACCAGTGTGCTTTGAATGATGTTTTCACTTTGAACTTTTTTTTTTTTGTTTTGTTTTTTTGTTTTTTTTTTCGAGACAGGGTTTCTCTGTGTAGCTTTGGAGCCTATCCTGGAACTCGATCTGGAGAGCAGGCTGGCCTCGAACTCACAGAGATCCACCTGCCTCTGCCTCCCGAGTGCTGGGATTAAAAGTGTGTGCCACCAATGCCCGGCTCACTTTGAACATTTAGAAACCAGGATATATCTGTTGTCCAAGCTGCTAAAGTTGAGACAGGAGGATGGCAGAGTACTGAGCAACCCTGTCTCAGAAAGCAAAACAAAATATGAAACAGCCAAAACCCTCAAGAGATTTCTCATTAATATCCAGCTTTATACTTTGATGGAGGTTGGAAAATGTGGGAGTAGACCTATGTGTCCACTCTCTGTAGTCAGCTAGGGCTGAGAAGCTATTCTGCTGCTCACATAAAGTGTGTGTGCTCTTAGCACTTTGTTACTTCTGGGACTTTGTAGACATTTACATCTGTAGTCCTTAACCCACAGACAGGTGCAGTTCTCTTTTGTGCTTAACAGAATATCAGAAATATTAATTGAAAAATAGGTAAGTCTGAATGAATTGTTTTTTTGTGTGTTTTAATTATTTTAAACATATCATGAGCTCTTAGTAGTATTGAATAATGAGTCAGAATTTTGATTTAAATTATTCTTAGGCCTTGGATTTTTTTTAATTTCTTTTTTTTTTTTTTTTCTTTTTTGAGACAGGTTTTTTGGTGACAGCCCTGGCTTTCCTGGAACTCACTGTATAGATCAGGCTGTCCTCTAGTTTACAGAGATATACCTGCCTCTGCCTCCTGAATGCTGAGATTAAAGGTGTGAGATACAATTGCCTGCCTTGAATCCATTTTTTAAGCTTGTATTACCCCCTTTCACTTTAGATTTAGGAATACCTCAGTTGTGAAGAGCAATTTTGAAAGGAAGGAATGGTAGAGGATTTGAAAACACAAGAATAAGAAAAAAATCCTTAAAGATGCATTACATAGACTCATTAGAAATAAAAAATTGCCAGGCTTTGGTGGTATGCACCTTTAATCCTAGCACTCGTGAGGCAGAGGCAGAAGGATCTTTGCAAGTTTATGGCCAGCCTTGTTTTCAGAGCTAGTTCCAGACAGCCAAGGATGCACAGAGAAACCCTGTCTCAAAAAACAAAAACAAACAAAAAAAGAAACAGTAGAAATAAAAAATTACAAATGATATTGTCTTCATATATTAGATTAACTGAGATTGATAATACGGACTGAATAGCCCTTGTCTGAAATTCTAGGGATCAGAGTGTCTTTTAGATTTTCTTTAATATCTGAGATATTTGTATAATAATAATGTTGTATCTTGAGAATGGGACTCAAGTCTAAACTCAGAATTCTTGGGGTTTTTTGTTTGTTTGTTTTTTTGTTTTTTCGAGACAGAGTGTTGCTCTGGAGCCTGTCCTGGCACTCACTCTGTAGACCAGGCTGGCCTCGAACTCACAGAGATCCACTTGCCTCTGCCTCCCGAGTGTTGGGATTAAAGGTCACCACCGCCCAGCTCATATATCTTATACACATAAGTGAAAAGTAATTTCTTTTGTATTGTTTTGTTATTGTTTTTTTTTTTAGAGATATAGGGGCTTATATAGCCCAGTCTAGGCTTTAACTTCTTATGTTACCAACACTGGCCTTGAGCTCCTCCTGCCTTTACTGCCCAAGTTCTGGGATTACAGGTATAGGCTAACCCCTCCACCCCCCACTATTGTGTCTGTGTTTTGACTGTAACCTATCCCATGAAGGCAGGTATTGATTTTTTTTCCACTTTTGGTTTCATGTATTGTATTTTGTATAGAGATGATCAACCTGGCACAAAGGGTAAGAAATTGGGGAAATGGTCACTTTCCTATGCTTAATTAAACCAATAATTTTATTGAGTAGAATTTGAGGGTATGTATCCAAAATCCTTTAAAGGCTGTACCTATTTTACTTTATTTTGTTGTTTTTGTTTTCAGTTTTTTTTGAGACAGGGTTTCTCTGTAGCTTTTCAGGCTCTCCTGGAACTCATTCAGTAGAACAGGCTGGCCTCAAACTCGAATAGATGCTCCTTTCCGGTGGCTGTACCTATTTTAAAGAAATGTTTGGTCAGCTGTACAAAGACAGAAGCTGAAAGATTATTTTTTGTTTGTTTTGTGTTTTTGCTGTTGTATTGTAGTACTGAGGAATAACTCTAAGAACTCATGCATGCTAGACAATTACTTTTTTACTATCAAACTTTATTCCCAGTCATTTTTTGCTTGTTTGTCTAAGTCAGGTTCTTGCTCTGTATCCCTGGCTAACCTGGTACTTGCTATATAGTCCAGGCTGGTCTCAGATTCATAGTGATCTTCCTGCCTCAGCCTCTTGAATGCTAGATAAGAGGTCTACACTACCGTACTGGCTGAATGATTGTTATAACAATGGTTTTTCTGTTGCTATTTTTTGTTTTTGAGACAGAGTTTCATGTAGCCCAGATTGGCCTCACACTCTCTGCATAGCTAAAAATGACCTTGAACTCTAGATCTTTCTGCTTCTACTTTCCAAGATCTTGGGTTATGTATAGTCTACAATGTTTTTATAATAGGAAAGCACTGAAAATAATTTTACTAAAAGGGAATTAATGAGATAAATTATGATTATATATTAGAATACTGTATAATCACCTCAAATGCAATACAGTTGATAGAAGAAAGTCCCATCATCCAAGGTTTACAAGTCTAATATCCTAGTCTGTTTCTATGTCCTTTTTCAGTGTTGTGACAGATCGATGTTCTTTACCTGGTCAGAATCAGGCAGTGCTGGCTTGCATCAATTTGTCAAGTTCAGGAAGCATTAGCTGTCAGCTAGCTGGTGACATGTTTGATATGAAAAATGTATTTTTGTTACACATGTGGAATATATTGTCTCATCTTCTGAGCCAAGACTAATATTTTGTTTCCAAAGGAAAACTCAAACATTTTCCACGTTATTCTTTCTGGACAGTTGTAGGTTTTGTTCCAAAGTCAACATTCATAAGTTCTCCATTTTTCTTATCAAATGTAGAGTAAGCCAGGTAGTTCCCCAGAGTCAACTTGTGTGTGTGTGAGTGTGTGTGTGTGTGTGTGTGTGTGTGTGTGTGTGTGTGTGTTTAGCTTTTAGGAGACATCACATAATGTGGTATCTTCATTTTGGTTCAATAAATGGTAGCAAAACCCATCCCATTATTTCAGAGAAATCCTAACTTAGGCTAATGTTGAATCTTGATAAAGCTGAGGTTTTCCAGAGATGCACTGTATTCTAAATTAACCCAGTCTTCCTTCCCATTTTTCACAGAAAATTCACATCTATACATTTTTCCTATACTGAATCATTGCTTAAACAAAGACTTTTTAAGCTTTTGTATATTTTTAGTAGTTCCATAGACCCTTTTCAGAATGATCAAAGTAGAACTTTCATGTCTATTATGATCTAGTATCATTCAAGCTCAGTGTTGACATGCACTTAGATACATAAATGTTTGTGTGTAACAATGATGTGATTAATTCAGTTAAGTACTTTATGTGTTATTAAAATAGATCATAGAATATTTTTATTATATGAAAAGTTTCCAGATTTAATATAAATTTCTTATGTAATTGTGAGCTAGTAACTCAGTTTCATATGTTTAAAAACATGATATTTAAAGCTTTGTTTACTCTTTTAGCTCATTCATCATACGTTTTACATAAGATTATTTATGTTTACCATCTCATCCACTCTTTGAAATATTTTTCCCACAGTTATGCAGAAGGCATGGAGGGAAAGAAATCCTCCAGCTCGAATCAAAGCAGCCTATCAAGCTTTAGAGTTAAACAATGAGTAAGTTGGAAAAATAAATTTGTTTTAAAGGAAACACAGGCAAATAATTTTGTATTTCCTTTTATCTGCTCACAAAATTAGGAACACTGGCAGTCTCCATTCCTATCTTGCATATTAGAGATAAGATTTGCAGTGTTCACTGACATCTGTATTTTGCTTTTAAAAGTATAAATTATCATATGGTTTTACATAAAAATATTTTAGAAGTTCTTCTTAAAATAAAGAGTACTAATGAGGAATGCTAATAATACTTAGTAGTTAAGTGGGTAATTAAATATTTATGTCACTATTTTATTTTGTTTTTCATTTAAATCATTCATTTAAAGCACTCATCAGTCCTGGGAACTTATACTCAGCAATGGGCTTTGAGACATAATAAGTGGATTCAAAATTAGCAAAATAGCTCTGTTAATTTTTTTCTTGTTAACAGCATTTACTTTCATAGATTTTTACATTATCTTTATATCCTTAAATGTTTTACAAAAATGTAAAACACCTAGTTAGTTTAAACACATAGATCAGTGACTTTTAATCTAATATGTCCTAAATAAATGCCAGGTGCGCAGAGAATGCCTCCTGGCTAATATGAATTTAGAGTTTCCTTGAAGTGTTCTTGTCAGTAAGAAGACCCTCCTGAGGGAACAAAATAATGGCAATGCTCTCCACCTAGTGACTGGCTAACAGGAGTGTGTGACTGACCTATTGACACTGTAAAATTATCAGAGCTTTAATGAAGTCACCTGGTGATCAAGTACAAAGTTCCTAAATATACGGGAGCTGATCCTTCACTCTCTAGCTCAGTGGAAGACAGAATCACAGCCAGATAGAGGTGTATAGTGCCAGGGAGCAGATATAGGAGTATAGTGTCAGGGAGCAGAGATAGTGTATAGTGTCAGAGCAGACATAGTGTATAGTGCCAGGAACAGAGCTATGGTTTTTTTTTTTTTTTTTCCTAGTATGATGGTTCTTTGAAGCTCCAGCTCAAATTTTTAGTTACTTTGAAATTCTCTGAATTGACTACATGAAGGTGAAAATATTTAGAGAAAAATGTGTTATTAGCCATCTCTGTCTGATGCAAAGGATAAAACAAAGGGACAAGAAAATAGACAAACCAGAAAATTTGTGAGGAAAGATTGGGGAGTGAGACACTGGAGAATAGCACCTTGAAAAGCTTCCACAAATTCCTGGGAGCCTCAAAGAACCAATTTTTGACAGAGTTGGTCACATGCTCAGAAATACTTGGTTTTCAAGTCCTCTTAAGCCCATACATCATCTTCATTCATGAAAAAAAATGACAAAATCCAACATCATTTTATGATAAAATTTCTAAAAAATGTGAGATATGTAAGGAGTAAGGAATCTTCTATCTGGATAACATTTAGGTTGGGCACAGTAGGAAATGAAAACTATGATAGTTGTAAAATACCTGAGTGAATGTTGAAAGTGCACTCTAGTGCACAAACACACACACACACACACACACACACACACACACACACTATCTATGGAGATTTGGTTTCTTTACTTTGCTCATAGATATTTAAGAAACCTTTATCTGATCATTAATTGACCACAATGCTAACCAAGTACAGACCTTATTGGTCACACATGACAAAGAATACAGAATTCACAAACTGTCAGGAAATCCAGTTAACAAACAACTACAACAGGAAGCAACAACAGAGGGAGTACAGAAAATCCTGTTGTAGAGTTGCCAGAGTATTAGAGTGAAAATTACAGTTTTCAACAAAAACTTATGAAGCATGCAAAGAATGTGGGTGTGGTGGTATATACTTCTAATCTCAGCAGTCAGGAAGCTATAACTGAACTCTGGGTTAGCCTGTGCTACAGCCAGACCCTGTTCCCAAACAAAATAGCAAAAGTCAGCATTCAAAGAAACAACAGAACAATAATGGGCAAGGTATTCATGGAAATGTCTTCAAAGAAGACTGGACTTTTGACGTGATAGATTTTTAATAATCTATTTTAAATTTGTTCACAAAGGTAAGAACTACAAGAAAAGTCCAAGGTGATGTTTCAACATTAGAAAATTATCAATACATTTCTGAAATCCCAACAAGGGCAGCTGGGCACATAAGGGACTAAGAGGAAATCCTAGGATTGAAAAGTGCTATTGAAGTAAAAATATACTGTAGGAGGTCGGTGACAGATCTGAGCAGACAGAAGATTCAGCAAAGTTGTGTAGGCTACTTGAGCATATGTAGTCTCAGAAGTAGCAATGAAGAGAGATGGAGGATCTGAGACCTGGGGACAATCAGTCATGCTACCCTACTTATAACTGGAGTCCCTGAAATATGGGAGAGAGAAAAAACAGTGCAGGAATAATATTTGAAGAGATAATAGCCCAACCAAGATGTAGCACACCAAATAAATCTAGCAGCATTTGGAAAGTATTGTATGTGAGCACCAAGTGGGGTTTGTTACAATTAAAGAATTTCGACACATGAAGGGAAGAATCTGCATGATTGTATCGGGTAGTACAGGAAAAGCCTCCATGACAAAAATGTGTGAAACTAATTAATGCAACACACTGTATTAATAGAACAAGGTGCAAAATCCACAAGTCATCTCAGTTCACTAAAGTGTTTGACAAAATCCAACATCATTTTATGATAAATACTAAAAACATTATAGATGTAAGGAATCCTGCTCAAAGTAATGAAGGCTCTCTGAAAAGCCTGCACCTAAGGACACTTGGTGATGAAAGACTGCAAACTTTCTGTTTCAAATGAGTAAGGCAAGGATTCGTGCTCTCACTACTTCTGTTTACATGTTATTAGAAATCCTAACAAGGGCAGTTGGGTAAGAAAAGGAAAAAAAAATGCATCTGGATTTGAAAGGAAGAAGTAAACTGTCTTTATTCACATGTGATCATATGTCTAGAAAACCTTAAGAAGTTCACACAAACAGAAACCTCTCAGTGCTTATAATTTAGGTTAAGTATGTTTGAGTAAAAAGTTAGCAGCCCGATTTACAATGGCATTAAGCTTATTAAAATGCTTAGGGGTAAGTTTAGCCAAGAAAGTGTAAGACTTGCACACTTAGAACTGGAATGCAGCTGGGGAGATGCAGGTCTGTCTTCTGACCTGAGCTTGACCCTAGAATCTAGGAGGAGAGAGCTGACTTCCAACAGTCATCTTCTGACTTCATATGAATGTGATGACATATGTGTGCCTATATTTATACACTTAGTAATTAAAAACAACTTAAAGATCCACAAAACATTGTTCAGGTAGCAATAAATAACTAAATAAGTAAAAGCTAAACAAATGGAAAGGAATCTTCTGTTCATGTATAATAAAAGTTAGATATCGTTACCTAAAATGTCAATGCTCTCCTGTATCAATCTACAGATTTAATATACTCCTATTAAAATTAAACCTACTGGGCCTGGAGAAAACGTGCAGTGGTTACGAGCACTGGCTGCCTTTCCAGAGAACCCTGATTTAATCTCCAACAGCTCACAATCATTTGAAGCCACTTCTACTTCTGGGGGATCCAACACCCTCTTCTGGTCTCCATGGGCATTGCATGCATTGAACACTTAAAAATGAAAATAAAAGTAATTAAAATCACAGTTTCTATTTTTGAAGAAATTGGCAAGCCGATCTTAACATTTGTGTATAATGGCCAGAGATTCTAAGTAGCCAAAAACAATCTTAGGACAACATTGGAAGACTCACATTTTCCAATTTTAAAACTTCCTACAAAACTAGATAGTTAAACCATAAGATTAGACACCTAGACCAATGGCTTGCTGGAAAGTAAGCCCATATGTTTATGGACTTTCAGTTGATTTTTGATGGGCTGTGATGGCTGTGATGCTTTAATCCCAGCACTCAGGAGGCAAAGGTAGGTGGAACTCTCTGAGTTTGAGGCAGCCTGGTCTACAGAGTGAGTTCTAAGACAGCCAGGGCTATACAGAGAAACCCTGTCTTGAAACACTGCCCCCCCCCAAGAAGAAGTTGTTTTTCACATGATGTTGAAACAATTGGATAGTCACATGTGTAAGCTGGAGATTGGACCTTTATGTCACATATGCATATTAATTAATTAAAAAATAAATAACCAAACTATAAATTATTGTAAGGGAACTAAACTGTAAACTCTTATAAGAGAACATGGAATGGGTTAGGGATGTCGGCCAGTGATAGAGTTTCTGCCTAGTATGCTTGAAGCCCTGCAACTTTGCCCTGTAAAAGAGGGAGGGGGAGGAGAGAAGATGAAAGGAGAGGGGAAGGGAGGTGTGGAGAGGAGAGGAGGAGACAGGAGAGGAGAAGAGAGGAGAGGAGAAGAGAGGAGGGACAGTCTTATGACCCCAGGTTTAACAATCACGACATCAAAGGCATAAGCAATAGAAGAAAAAGTAGGTAAACCATGCCTTATTAAGGTGAAACCTCTGTGTACCAAAGGACACTGTTAAAGAGGTGATAAGTGCTGGGCAGTGGTGGCACGCGCCTTTAATCCCAGCACTCAGGAGGCAGAGGCCGAGGCAGGTGGATCTCTAAGTTTGAGACCAGCCTGGTCTACAAGAGAAACCCTGTCTCGAAAAACCAAAATTAAAACCAAAACCAAAAAAGAGGTGGTGGGGAGGCAGGAGAGACAGTGGAACTGCTGAATGGTTATGGTGCTTTTGGGGGTGATGAAGATGCTTTATGTACCTGTTATAGTTGCACAACCTTGAGACTATAGTGAAAGTTTCTGAATTCTACATTTGAAAATGTTTTACACTGGTGGGCCTGCAAGATCACTCAGCTGGTAAAGGTGCCTGTGCCAAACTGATGACTTCACTTTGATCCCCAGGACCTACATGGTGCAAGGAGAGAACCAAATTCCTCGAATTGTCCTCTGATCTCCACATGTGTACTGTGATGTACACATAGGCACACATAATCAAGTAAAAAATAATCACATGAAATAAAAATTAAAATTTTATACTAGTATGTGAATTTAACACCAGTTTAAGACAAAGGAAAGTCATTAGGTATGCATAAGACTAATTTCTTGTAATAACATATCTAATGAAAGAATATAAGGCAAAGCTATCAAGAAGCACAGACTATAAGCTATAATGTGATTTGGTGGTGGTGGTACTGGGGGTAGCACCCAGGGCCTTGCACATGACAGACAAGTGCTCTGTCCTTGAGCTATATTTCCAGACCCCTCTTTTTCACTTTTTGAGACAAAGTCTTACTAATTTACCCAGGAAGTCCTTGAACTTGTGACCCTCCTGCCTCAGCCTTCTGAGAAACTGGGATTACAGGCCTGTGCTACCAGACCCAGCTTATAATTTAAAGTTATGTTAGGAGCTGGGGCTGTATCTTGATGGTAGACATTGTCTACCATGTGAGTTCCTGAGTTTTATCCCCAGCATTGCAAATCTAATAATAAAGTAAAGTTATTTTTCTATTTAGATTCTATTTTATCAATTTTATCAAGGTCTTTATACAAGTGGTGTTTTATTTTGTTTTGCAGTGCTGGGATCGAACCCAGGGCCTCAAGCATGCTAGGCAAGTGCTCTACCACTGTGATATCCCCAGCCCTACAAAAATATTCCTGTCCTGATTATTTAAAAGTGATTGAAACAAAACATTAAATACAAATATTTGATGAGGGGCATTGTGAAATACATCTGTAATTACCAGCCTTGAGAAGTTGAATCAGGAGAATGGGAGTTCAAGGCTAGCCTGGGCTGTGTTGCAAGAGTCTGTTTTTGGAATGGCAAGCTGGATACTTAGTGATTAAACCAGCAATATATCTAACGTTTATCAAAATTCAATGTAATTCAGTGGAGAAATGTGTTGATTAGTAACATTTTATATATAAATTTACAGTGCTATTTGAAAAATAACTCAGTGGTGTGATTTGAACTTTATATCTGAAAGGCCCTTCTTAACCCTTATTGAGGAAAGCTACCTTTTTCTTTTATTCTTCAATAGTAGACAGGGTTTTTGTCATAAAGTCCAGAGTACATAGGTAATCCTATATAGTCAAAGCTGTCCCCAAATTCGAGGTCCTCTTGTCTCAGGGTTCTAAGTGTTGGTATCATAGATGTGGATGATAGCTACTCACCATCCCCATATTTCATGCCTGCCCTTGTGGTTTTTGTTTGTTTGTTTTGCCAATAATCTCTAATTGGAACATGTGAACCATATATATAACTTTTTAGATTTTCTAGTAACCACATTGAAAAAGTTAAAAGATGTTAGTTTCAATTATCTATATTCAAAATTTAAAATGTTTTCACATATGATCCATATATTAAAAACCTATCAATGAGGTATTTTACATTTTCTCAGTCTTTAAAATCTGAAATGCATCAAAATGCCATGTCAGTTCAGATTAACCATATTTCAAGTGATCAGTGACTACTTGTGGCTACTGACTTGAATGTTGGACTGTGTGGGCTTGGACAAGCAGAATTTAGACATCATCTTCAGACTAAATGTACTTGTCCAGAAATACACGGAAGGGAAACTTTGTTTTTCTTTCTTGTCCAAAGCCAAGAATTAGTTTATTTTATTGGCCAGCTGTTGACTTTAAAGATACAAACAAAAATCTCTGTGTTTTAGCAGGGTGAGGAAAAGGAAGCTTGGGGGTAAACATGACTGTGTGGGTCGAGTGTAGGTGTATGAGAGGGGGGTCTGGAATGTAGACTTGTGTGGATAAGACCAACAGAAGACAACAGAGAGAGCACTTGGCTTGTAGAAAATCTTAGTGTAGGAATCTGTCTCTGATCAGGTATGAAGAATCCATCATCAGCCATGGAAGTCTTCCCAATCTGCACTCCCATGGTCACCCACATGATAAGGACATTACAGAGTACCTATGAGCAGGTGTGACCAGTGGGTGGTCCTTACAACTACTTTTTAAAACAATGTCTTATATGTCTTACTTTTTCTTCCCTTCCACAAAACAAACAAACAAACAAACAAAAAAAAAAAACAGGGTCAGAGAACAAAGATAGAAATAGAAAAGACAGAAAGTAGAGAGTGGAAAAAACATTGTGGGGTTGGATGTAATGAATATACTAGTGTACCCGTAGTTAAAATGCTGAATGATGTTTTATTTTTCTCCTTCAAGATGGAAAGTGTAGGTACGGATGAGGGAAGCATGATATAGCAAGAGGCCTGTCCAAGAGAAATTCGAGCTTTACCATAGTACTTAACATAGCCTTGCTTGCTTGCTTTATAGCTGTGCCACTGCCTATGTTCTACTGGCTGAAGAAGAAGCAACAACCATTGTAGATGCTGAAAGGTTATTTAAACAGGCACTCAGGGCGGGTGAGATCATTTATAGACGGTCACAGCAGTGCCAACACCAGAGTCCTCAGCATGAAGCTCAACTGAGTAAGCAAATTTGAACTGGCTATTTTTCCTTTTTTTTTCCCCCCTTTTGTTTTCTTGAGGTGTTAGTCTCAAATTTACCATGTGGATGAGGATAATCCGGAACTGAACTTCCCTCCCGAGCTGGGATTATAGACATGTGCTACCCGGCCCAGATTCTGTCCTTAACTTGTGTCTTTTGTGTTTAAAGCATGAAACAATAATAATAAGAAAATATGTGAAAATTTGATAATTTTTATGAGACAACTGATAGATTCATATTTCTGGTCTATTAATTCTAATAAACTAACAATACAGAAAGAAGTATATAGTACCCAGACAATGTTTGTGGAAGGGAAGGCATCTGCTTTGGTTACCTTGAAAAAAAAATGCTGTTTTGAGACTGAGCATTTCTTTCCTATAAGAACTAACTGGTCACTAGACCGACAGTACTTTTTAAAATTCAAGGGTACCTTCTAATGATAACATGTAGTACTGAGATCCTCCCTAGACAATAGATATTGTCTTTACCCTGACCCTTCCTCAGAGCAATGGGAGGGGTACATTTTTTTGTATTTTTGGGAATCAAATCCAGGGCTTCCCTCCCACATGCTTGGCAATACCTAACACTGAGCTGCATGCCCAGCCCAAACTTCATTGTGTTTGCTCTTCAGTCTATGGATCTATGTGTGGTGCCAAAGGGTGGTTCCTTTCCTCCTTCCTTCTTTTCTTCCTTTATCCCTTCCTCCTCCTGTTGTTTTTGTTTGTTTTGTTTTAAGGCAGGGTCTTGCTATTTTTAGGGATTGTTCCTTTAACACCATCTGACTCTTAGTCCATACTCCAGTCTCATATGTGATGTTTTTTCTTTTTTTGATTCATTTTTCTCCAACATGCTTGAGATATGATGAGGCACAGGGACTGTTTTCTTTTAGAGATGGTCTTCTGGTTAGGGTTGCGACACTTACCAAAGCTGTTAGAATCGGCAGTGTTGCTGTTTCTGGCTGAGATGTGTGGCCAGGGCGTTTTAGTTTCATGATTTTGGCAGATACTGGGCAATAAATTGAAATATGTTTACACAAGGCATTATCTCTTAGCAGTTAAGTTCTACATCTTTTGTTTATGGAAATTAAAATTTGGCTAATGTTTTCTCTCAGTTAAATACTTGTGTTTACAATATATTTCATTAAGGCATGTTGTTATACAAAACTACGGGAATAGTTAATTTTGCAGCCTGGGACTAATGAAACTACATCTATAAAAATCTCTTGCTGTTTGCCCTTGCATAATATCAAATGTGGTTATCTTGTAGAATTTTAATTTTAAAATTATACTTATTTATGTATATGTATTTGTGTGTGTATATGTGTACATGAACATGTGCATGCATAGAAGTCAGAAAACAACTTGTGTCTCAGTTTTCTTCTACCATTTGGGTCCTAGGGACCAAACTCAGGTCACCAAACTTGGCAAGCAAGTATCTTTTACCTGCTGAGCCATCTTACTAGCCCATGTTAAAGATTTTTTCTTAGTCCTTTCTAGAATAGTTTTTTTAATTAATTACTAACTTAATCAAAGTTTATATTGTTCATGGAAATTTTGTTTAGGAAATTTAGAATTTTGGGTCAAAATAATAATACTGAAATTATAGATTGTTTATTCAGAAACTTGAGATAGACAAATATATCTGCCTATTAAATTTACTTGTTTTCTGTCAGTGTTAAACTCGTCAACCAGATGAACTATGTATACTACATTCATATTGCTTACTACTAGAGGAAAAAGTAATTAAATGTATATTTGAAGTTTCTAATATAGAAAGAACACACATTTATTATTTATAACATAAATTGAATATTCACTAATAATAATGCACTCTGATATAATTTAATTTTCATAGATCTTCTAGGATAAGCAAATAAAATTCATGGATAATATTTTAATGAAGTGTCAGGCCATATTACAAAAGTGATAGTTGTGTCATTTTCTTGTTTTTCTAAATAGGACGAGATACCAATGTACTTGTATATATAAAAAGAAGATTGGCAATGTGTGCAAGAAAATTGGGAAGAATAAGAGAAGCAGTGAAAATAATGAGAGATGTAAGTAAATTTGATAACAGAACCATTATTTCTATAGTTCCCAAAACTAAGAAAAATTAAGTTATCAGTTATTTTAATGCAGAGTTACTGTTTTTCAATTGCCCATTTCTATACAGGTTAGTATATTTTATTTATTATTATAGTTTTTTTTTTTTTTCTTGAGATGGGGTCTTATCTTGTAGCCCTGGCTGTCCTGGAACTCGCTCTGTAGACCAGGCTGGCCTCAAACTCACAGAGATCTACCTGCCTCTGCCTCCCAAGTGCTGGGATTAAAGGTGTACACCACCACCACCTGGCAGATATTTTTAATGTGCATACATTTCTTAAGGTTTAGGTCTTTATAAGTTTGTAAAAAAGCAAAATAATTTGTACTTTAACAAACCTGACTCAGCTCCTCTGAGTTTTTCTGTCATGATTTATTTATTTTAGTATTTTTCCTTCCTTTTAATATACAGTTGATGAAAGAATTTCCTCCTCTTACCATGTTGAACATCCATGAAAACCTCTTAGAATCACTTCTAGAGTTGCAGGCCTATGCAGATGTTCAGGCAGTCCTGGCAAAATATGATGGTGAGTTTTTTTGTGTGTGTTTTGGTAGATAACTTGGTTATAACTTCTTTTGGATTGTGTAATCTGCAGTCCAGTCCAGTCTAGTGTTTCTTTGGTTGCTTCTTTCCAGTCTTAACAGTCAGTTTTAAGGTGCAGATATAGCTGCTGTGAAACGTCTTCTCTGTCTGTCTTCCCAGCTGAACCAGACACTCACAAGAGGATGCGTTCTCTGTTAAGTGTGTGTGTGTGTGTGTGTGTGTGTGTGTGTGTGTGTGTGTGTGTGTCACTTAGAATGCAATGGTGAAAGTGGATTTAGCCCTCATGGCATTTAGGGCTTAGAGGAACACACAGAGAACTGGATAGTAGTTACACTGAAGGTAGCATATAAAGACAGGTAATTGGAAAAGTATAACACTGTGCATGTAGTAGGGTGCTTCATGAATTTTGGCATATAAGGAATACCAATAGAAGATGTGTAATACTCTTTATAAGAATAAATCAGAATAAGAGTTTTACAATGACTCTTAGTTATCAAAAGTAATTTATATGATTTCTCTGCATCCATATATTAAACATGTGAAGTGGTAGGACAAATGTTTTTACTTTTTTCAGGCACTAAATTAGGATACTGGAGTTTAAGAAGGTTAAATATTGTGTAATGTCTTCCACTGAATGAGTGGCAAACCTGAACCATAAATCAGTCATTCCATCTCTATATTTACTAGTCATTTAATAAAAATCATTCCATGTATATTAGCTATTTGTATTATTATAACAATAACAGTTGACTACAAATGGAGTTGGGAAAATGTTAAAACCACAAACTTTTGCTCAGTGGTGGTGGTGGCGCAGGTCTTTAATCCCAGCACTTAGGAGGTAGAAGCAGGCAAATCTCTCAGAGACCAGCCTGGTCTACAGAGCAAGTTCCAGGATGTCCAGGGCTACACAGAGAAACCCTTTCTCAAAGAAATAAAAAACAAAAAACAAAACTACAGACTTTCTCCTCACTCAAATTAAGGCATTACCGTGTTTTGTCTCCCTCATAGATTCTTCTGCCTCTGCCTCTGCCTCTGCCTTTGTCTTTCAAGTCCTGGGATTAAAGGTGTGTGGTACCATGCCCAGCTAGGATATATGTATTTTTTAAATGTGCATACATTTCTTAAGGTTTAGGGCTTCATAAATTTATAAAAAATTTTACTTTAATAAAACTGGCTCAGCTCTTCTGAGGTTTTCTGTCATGATTTATTCTTATTTTAGTTTCCCCTACTTTTAATATACAGTTGATAAAAGCCGATGCTGCAAACTTCCTAGCTCACATCTTTCATTATAGCAGAATATGGAAAGTTACTCATATTTGTTCTGTAGAGGTTCCTACCCTATAGTTTGGGAATCTCCATGACTTGGGAAGGTTGACGTGTAATATATTTGGAAGGTGAAGTTTCTTTCTTTTAACCATCTGGAATTTTGGCAGATCTTCACAATAGTTTAGGCTCATAGGAAAATTTGTGAGAAATCCCTTCCATATGTAACTTACTAGATGCATGGCCTATTGTGATATTTGAAACTTAGGAACCGAATACAAAAGTCAGAAGGGACCTGATTTGTTTACAATAAAGTAAACCCATTAAAGTGAATAGAACCTACATCATTTGGTATGCTTCTGTGGTTTTAGTGCTCACATGTCTCACTGCACTTCATTGTACAGACCTGAAGTCACTGGAAACTGGCTTTCTCTCTGAGATCTCATGGAGCTGAGAACATCATGAAAGTGTGTTACTCTCTTCTAAGACCACTATTTTAGGCATACTTCTGAAAAAGGATTTATTTTGTTTACGATCTCAAATTAACTTCATATTCTGTGAAATGTGGTCCTTTAAAAAAATGTAGAAAAGTCAAAAACTTAGGAGAAAAGTTAAAATCAATCCATATATAAAAGCAATTAAGTATTTTAATTTTTTCTAACCTTAGTTTTTACACACTTTTAATTATACTGTGGATTTCCTCTGACTAGTCATTTTTTAATATTTATTTATTTTTTATGAATACAGTGTTCTGCCTGCATGTATGCCTGCAGGCCAGAAGAGGGCACCAGATCTCATTACAGATGGTTGTAAGCCATCACGTGGTTGCTGGGAATTGAACTTGGGACCGCTGGAAGAACAACAGCTAGTGTTCTTAACCACAGGAGCCATCTCTCCAACCCCTCCTCTGTCTAGTCTTATTGTAAACAGATTATAGACATTTGTAGAATACCTGTTGTCATCATATAGAGGACTTTTGTCAACATAGTTTAATCTCTGCTAGAAGGTATGAAAAGAGATCAAGGCGGGGTGGTGGTGGTACACCCAGGAGGCAGGTAGAAATCTATGAGTTCGAAGCCAGCTTGGTCTACAAAAAGAGCTCCAGGACAGCCAGGGCAACACAGAGAAACCCTGTCTTGAAAAACAAAATGGGGGGGGGGGTGCAGAAGAAGAGGAGAGAAGAGATCAGTACAAGTTGCTACTGGCTCAGGGATATGCCACTAGTAAATAGTAAAATCTAGAATCCAAGTTAGCCCTTCCTTCAGTGTGTTCAGGTACCATTGCCACTGTGTTACAGCTGATGAATTTGTACTATGAGTTATAATTTTTAATCCTTACCTAAATTGACAATTATTGTTACAGATATAAGCCTTCCAAAGTCAGCAGCCATCTGCTACACAGCAGCACTCTTGAAAACAAGGACTGTTTCGGATAAGTAAGTACTTAAAAAGCCACAATAATTTGGAAAGACTGCTGAACAATTAATAAGGTTTTTTTCCTCTACTAACTTTTAAACAATGCTCTTTCTCCTTTCTGTTTCCTCCTGAATAACCCCTGCTCTTCTGTGACTGAGGCTTCTCATTGCATGTGATTTGATGACAGAGCTGTTTAGAGTTCAATAAGCTGGGACTCAATTCAAACCCTACCACATTTGAGAATGATGGGGAGTGGGGCAGTGGGGCTGGAGAGACGGCTTAGCAGTTTAGAGCACTGGCTGCTCTTCAGAGAACCTGGGTTCAATTCCCAGCACCTGAATGGCAGCTCACAACTGTCTGTAACTCCAGTTCCAGGTAACCCAACACACAAACACAAAATCAGGCAAAGCACCAATGCACATAAAAATAAAATTACAGAAAAAGAAAATAATATTGTAGGGTGGTTGTGTGAGGATGATATGTGCCAAATGACTATAATAATTTCAAGAAAGAACCCACAGAGATCTGAATGTGAAGCTTATACCTGTACTACCAGCATTTGGGAGGAGGAGCAGGAATTGAAAGCTACCATGGCTACATAGCAAGCTAAAGGCCATCTTGTGGTATATATGTCTTAAAAAAAAGACATTAACTGTAGTAACAGTGATGCTGGTAACCATAAGGTGCATGTAGACAAACTGGTTTCATCTTGCCCTTCCATTGAAGCTATCCTCTCTTCCTTACACTTTCGGCTCTCCTTAGTCAGTTCTCTTTATTTGGCAGTTGAGATAGTCAGAATCTGGCCAGGCCCAGCGCCTTAGTCAGTTCTCTTTATTTGGCAGTTGAGATAGTCAGAATCTGGCCATTCTGAGCAATGAGACCCTATCTCAATTAATTAATTAATAGATAGCTAGAAACCAACCAAACGGTGCTCATTTTTCACCTTAGATTGGTATATCTTGATATAAATTAGAGTAAAATATTCACAGTTTATTTCTTGCCACCTAAAAGCTTTATAAAAATCTGTATTGTGTTTGCTGAGATTTTCTGAGTTCCTCAGTGGCAGTTCTTACTGTAGTCACCCTTCACAGAGTAAGCTCAATGAACTCTGTCCAAAGTCTCTCTCTACTTCAGGCTTCGATTTCCATTCCTTCTTTTGCCTCATGCACATGTTGAACCAGAGGCTTTACTTTCCCTTTTATTGGTTATCTGGTTTTGTCTTTGGCCATTTCCAGAAACATCTTTGATTTGAGAAATATATTGTAATCTGAATCCATGTATATAGTTCCCAATAGACTTTGTACATATGGTTTGTTCATTTCTTCATCCTGTGGTTTTCTTTACAGATTCTCTCCAGAAACAGCCTCCAGGAGAGGGTTAAGCACAGCAGAAATTAATGCTGTGGAAGCAATTCATAGAGCTGTGGAGTTTAATCCCCATGTTCCAAAAGTAAGAAATTTTATAACACAAATACTTTTATTTAAATTTAACAAATTTATGACAATAGACCAAAATGTATGGTTTGTCATACATTATGTCAGAATTATTTCAGTCTACTCTATTTGCCAGCATCTCAAAAGGGATATTAATAAGACATTTAGAAATAGTTAGGGGCCAGTGATATAGTTCTGTTAGTAGTGCATTTGTTGCATACATGAAACCCTGACTTTAATCTGTAGTGCTGCAGAAATCAGGCATGGTGGTGCTTCATGCTTGTAATCCTAGCATTTGGATGTAGAGGCAAAAGGATCAGACGTTCAGGGTTATTCTCTCTCTGTTATACAGTGAGTTTGAGGTCAGCCTAGAATATATCAGTCCCTGTTTTTAAAAAAGAAAATTTAGAAAGAAACCTGCTTAGAAGCAATTAGTTCCCGATGAGCTTTGTAATTGCTGGCAGAATAAAACCTGAGTTGTAGCTACTTCACTCCCTCAGCATTGGTGATGAATGCAGTGCCTTTTATGTGCTAGGCAAGCACTTATCATTGGGCTGCATTCCAACCCTGCTTAATTGGTCTTTATTATAGTTCTAGAGAAGAAACAGTTACATGACTTGATTACTATAAGAAGATCATTTATATTTCAGATCACAGAATCAATTTTCCTATATTGTAAAAGGCTTTTCTGGATGCATGGCTGGGTTTTGAACTAGGACTGAGTAGACAAAAACTGAAATCCAGCAAATTAACCAGTAATATGTTACAACAGATAGAGAAACTGCTAAGTTGATGTCTATTGAGACTCAGATTAATTGGCCTGCTCCGTTTGTCTTTACATTGTACATCTTACATTTATACAAATTAATGGCTAATCTATGTAATAGTACCCAAATACTGAAACACTCAAACCCAAGATTAAAATTTGGGTTTTACAAACAATTTTCCATGTTATAAACTACAAACTATTCATGGATAGATTCACCTTACTACTGTATGAAATTATAGTTATGATTCAGTATGTAAGTGTTAATGGAAGTTGTAGGCTGGTAGACAGTAAAGACATTAACCCAGGAGTCTGCAAGGTGGCCAGCATATAAAGTCACCTGTTGCTAAGCCTGATGACTGGAATTCATTCCCCAGAAACCTCATGGTAAAAGGAGAGAAAGAACTCCTGCAAGATGTCCTCTGATCTCAACTTACATAATGTGTCACATGTGATTGCACATACATAGACACAATAAATAATGAAACAAAAAAGTCATTAACCTCTAAAAGAAAATCTTCAAGAAGTTGTAAGCCTTTTATAATAAACAAAGATATAATAAAGTAAGTTAATGACTTGGACTTAGTACAACATGCCTGTAATTTGAGTACTGCAGAGGCTGAGGCAAGAGGATTGAGAGTTTGAGGGCTACATATTGAGACCCTGTCTCAAAAAAAAAAAAAAAACAGGAATAACATAACAATAACATACATCAGGATTGAGTAGTAGTGTTTTCCTGGCCTGTATGAGCCCCTGCATTTGTTCCCAAGAATGTATAAGAGGGAGAAAGCAAGACCACTGCCATCAGTTGCCAATAGCTCCTCAGCTAGAGGTGGGACTTCATGACTGCCTACCTATTCCATGCTGGGATTTTGTCTGCCTCGCACAGTTGCTGACTTCATATGTGTGATTGCGTGTTGTGTTTGGGATGTATCGCTTTGTTGTAGTCTCTGGCTTTACTGTCTTTCCACCTCCTCCTTTGTGATGATGCCTGAGTCTTGAGAGGAGGAGGTGTGATATAAATGTTCCATTTAGCTCTGGGCATTCTGTATAGATTCATTTTTTATTCTGTGGAATAATTTATATAAAATTATAACCATTTCTGCTTCAAATGATTAGATCTTTCTGATAAAGCTATCTGATCTTGAATTTTCTTTTATGAAGCTATGTACTATGAATTTCCTTCCTTTAGTTTAATAATTACAATAGTTAAATACTTTATAATTGCAAATACTGTTATTTTGGTGACAGAGCCTCATTGTAGCCTAAGCTGGCCTCAAACTCATTATTTACCTGAGGATGATTTTGAACTCCCAATTCTCTGCCTCCTAAGTGCTGTGATTACAGTCTATGCCCCATGTCCAGCTTACTGTATTTTTTCTGTTACATCATAGTTACCTTTATAATTAATTTTTTTGCCTACACACCAGATACTTTGTTTGAAAAGTTGTAAAATTAGGTTGAAACTTTGGATAATACTATATATTTTTCCATAAAATATCTGTTTCACTCTTAGATGACTGCAAGAAGCACTAGCAAGCCAATATAACTTTAATCACTTTATGTTTAAAGGATTACTGTTTCTGGGCCACCCAGATGACTTAAAACTACTTCTGGTTCATCTTTATTCCTGGGATTCAGCCATTCAGGGCCCCATCTAACCCTTAATCTTAGAAGCACTTGCACTATTGACGAGCATCGCTACCATTTCCCTAGCTTTATATAACTGACAAAATGACAAAATGACTTCTTAACCATCTCATCCAGTTGGAAGATCCTCCACATAAAGAAAACTCAAATGTGGCTTACTTGTCTGGCTATCTGCCTTTAGACTGTGGTCTGGTAATTCTTCATGCTTTGTTAATCCTTGTGTGTTTAGTTTTACTTACTACTTTCAACCTAATTTTTTTTTAGGAAGGTTGATCAGAATTATCCAGTCTCATTACTGGAAATAGAAGTCTATGAATAGTTTTATTAAATCCCTCCACTCTCTTGCTACAGAGGAGTTAAGAGAATGGATTTCACAACCAAACTGCTGGAGTTTGAATTCCAGTTCTACTGTTTCCTAGCAGTATGGCTTTGGATGAATTACTTCACTTTGCTGTGCTTGGGTTTCCTCATACATGCATGCAAGTGTGTGTGTGGTGGGGGGAAGGGGGTTGAGACCAGGTCTCATGCAGTCCATGCTGGCCGTGTACTTACTGTATAACTGGGTCTAGCCTCAGACTCCCAGTCCTCCTGCCTGTTTCTCAAGTGCTGGGATGGCAGTCATGCACCATAATGCCTGGCAAGATTCCACTTGCCTGAAGTGGAGATGATATCCCCTACTTCATAGAGTTGTGATGAAATTTAATAGTGCTTATTTAAAAGTGCTTGAAACAGAATTGACACATAAGAAGCATTACAAAAGTGATTTGTTAATACTGTTACTATCCATGGTACATTGTAATCTTACCTTTGTACAAGAAGATAAGCTGCAGTTATTAGTCAGAACTATTTAAATATGCCATTAAGATGTCTAAAACTAGCTCATACAAAATATATTCACAGTAGTAGCAATCAATAATATGTATTTATTTTCAAAACTATTAGGGACCATGTGGATATTAGCAATGCCAGGCATTGCCCAAATTTTAAATTTAAATTGTTGAATATATATATTAACACCCAGATTGAATCTGCTCTTGAAAATACATAGTGCCTAAAAGGATGCACTTTTTTTTTTTCTCTGAGAGAAGCCATCGAAAACTTAATCCAGATATATGTGGTATGAATTGCCTGAAAGACTAAATATTGCTACAATCACAATTTGACCCTTATGGATCGGTGTCTATACCTTTGATATAATTCTTTTCATGATCTGACTTTTTTTTTTACAGAAATTTCTATACTCATCCTAAAATTCATAGATATGCAAGTATATCCAAAAATCTCTGATATATAATAGTAAGACTGGAGAATTTACTCTACTAAAGTTGAGTACATTTTAAAGCTTTAGTAATTAATATTTATTGGCATAAATATAAAATGTAGATCAGTGGAAAATAATTGAGGGTCCTAAAATAGTGCACTATTGACAAGCACTGCCAAGTTTGTGATTAGTTGATAAACTGTGAAGTTGCTCAGCATTCCAGACATGAACGTCAGCATGTTACTTCAATTCACTAGGGTGTCTCCCCACTGATGCTTACAAGTGTGAAGAACCACATACATTACTTCTGGGGGTGTAAAATGGCACCCTTTTTTTGGAAACAGTCGTGTAGTCAATGTAAGCTTACTGTGGGACTCATCAGTTCCGTTCTTAAGTAGCTAGTCAAGAACAATAAAAACACATGCAAAGTTTTTGCATGCAATTATTCACAATAGTCGACAACTTGAAACAATTAAAGTAGTAAGGGAATTGGAGTGAAACTGTAATAGAACACTGATGAGTGCCCTGTCAGCAGTGCCCCAGTGTGGGTAGACCGTCATTACATCGGGCCAAGTGGAAAGAGCCTGTGACAAAAGACTTGACTTATGTGAATTTGCTAAAAGAAATAAATAAGCTGAAACTAGAGACACAAAAGCAAATCTGAGGATGGGGTAAGGATTGACTTAAATTAAGCAGGAGGGGACATTCTGTGGTTAAAGTTGCAGGTTTATATGTAAAGTTATTAAAAAACTTCACCTGTACACTTACAAAGGTGATTTTTCTAAAAGTTAATTTTAGGTTTGAATACAATGTAATGAGTTTATCATGGCATCTTCATGTGCATGTGTCCCTCCCTCACTGTCCTCCCCAGTACAATCTCCCCTTCAAGCAGACTTTCTCTTCTCTAGTTGTTCTTTCTGCATTCCCGTTATAATTCTATTACCTTCGTTGTTTCTCACCTTCCTTAAGGCATCTTCCTTCCCTCTCATGATCCACTTTATAATTGAATGATGTAAACACACACACATTTTTGTCAATGGATACATGTTGGGGTAGGGAGTCCAAGCACATGTGCACTTGTGTGTGAGTGTTCACATGGAGTCTAGAGGACAACACCTGGTGTTGTTCCTCAGGAGCCATCCACCTTGTTTTTGAGACAGGATCTCTCACTGGCTGGAAGGTTACCCATTAGGTTAGTCTGGCTGGTTAGCAAGCTCCAAGGATCGGCCTGTCTCCTGCCCAGCGCTGAGATGAAAAGAACCCCACTACCACCCTGACATTTTCTTTTACCTGCATTCTGGGGCTCATATGTAGGTCCTCATGCTTACAGGGCAAGTAC